AAAATACAAAAATGATGATAGCCCATCCATCATATAACCCCATTGCAAACTATGGGACTAGCTTAACAGCATTAAATAAATCCGTTTCCTAAAGCTCTGTGTAGGCTTCCAACATGTAGATTTATTTTTTAAATATCTTTCATTTCGTATTCACGTAAAATGTAAAATGTTTGAAACCACTGTAGCATTGTAATAATGAGTTTTAAAATACCCTGATGGGTCAAACCACTGTCTGCCTCAGTGCTCTATAGCGGATTTGACATGACCAGTAGCAGGTCCATGGGTCACACTGAGAAGAAGCCAACAATTCACAGTGGGTGAAGACTGCTTGGAAGCATTAGAAGAAAAAATGGTTACATTTCATATTAAAACTCTGCTAAATGCCTGGCTTAGCCTGGTCATTTGGGGCACTCAGCATATATCTCTAAAGCAGTGAGGTTATTTTTAATACTCTTGCAGGTCACCTTTAAATGAATTTGCACTTCAATGATTATCTTTGCTAGAGCACACATTATACCTACTGAAAGTAAGGAAACTTACATGTGCTGTATAGCATCCTCAAAAAGAACAAGATTCATTGCAGCATGAAGCTCATTGTAGTGCTCTAATGATTCTGTTAAAATTCTGGTCAGCTTCTCCCAATCAGATACGGGAAAGTAACGAGGTTCTCCAACACCATAGGCAAAGTGGCAGTAAATTAGTGGCTTATGGATAAATACATGCTCATCAACACCCTGGTGGTAACAATATAGAGATATAAACAAGTATTCACCCAGCACATTAACCCTTTATCACAATTTTATCTGTGTGTCTCTGTGTGTGTGCATGTGCACACTTAGGAAAAGCTGCTGGATTCTAAGAATGATCCTGTTAGCTACAGAATCAATATCAGATAGTGTTTCAAATTTTTCCATCAGAATCTGGCAGCATGCTATTTCCAGAAGGCCAGCTCCAAGCCCTCTCGGACTGTGTCTTCTCTCTGGAGACAGCTGAAAAGAGTATAATAATACATAATGCAGACTTTGGTGATAGCTTTTAATTTAATCTGATCTTTTCTGGAAGGAAATGGGTTCAACCACAAACTACAAGATTATTCTCAGTCATTTTTCCATTTTATGCTATTTATGTATGGCTCATGCAGTCTTACTCTGCTTTCCTTATCGTACACTCTACTTGCTTGTATTTGCTACTGACTCCTAATATTCTTATGGTCTTCATCATGGCATGCAACCATAAGGAGGTAGCATCTAAATTGAAAAAAAGGTAAAGAACCTCATTACAAAGAAGAAACTTGAATAAGTATGCTTCAAGTAAGAGAAAAGACAGAATACTTCTTATGACTGCAGTGATTTTGTTTTTATAATCTTTTCTATTATATTGAAATGATGTCCATTCACACCAGGGACAGGAAACAAAACAAAACAAGATTTCTACAATAAACAATTAATCTGTATACACTTCCAATGTCACAAAATCCTTTTTCATCCCCATGAAATCCTTTTCGTTCCCACAATGCTTAAAAATAATATGGCATGAAATGGTGGATACAAACAGATTTTTCCCAGTTACCTCATGTTAAGAATCCCATCTCAGAGTACATTCTATAGTATGGATGAGAATTGCATTAAAATGTTCAGTATCTTTCTTCTCCATATATTTATATGAGCTAATGCAGGATGATTACGTGGATACTTTTTCCATGATAAATGAATCAAGACAATAGGAACCGATATATTACTGGGGTAGTAAAGTGTTCCTGGCAAACACATTTTCATTCAAACACATTTTTTCCCCCTTCAAACGTGACATCGTCAGTCCCTGACTAGAAACTAAAATATTCCAGTCAGTGATATGCATCTTTGGGTCACCAAAACATGAATATTTACTCCCTACAGTATGCATGCTTAATGGCCAATTAATGACCTGTTGTAAAAGAAGTTATATAATGAGGTTGTGTGTTTGCCTTAGGAATGGTGATCTCTTCCTCCTAGCCCTCCTTTGTATGACTTTCATCTTTGTTGTAATCCAGTTTTATTTCTGACACACCCCTTTCTTTCTCTTCAGAAAAAACCTGACTGTATCCTGCTGGAGTCCTGCCTGTCTATTTAAAACTTCCTTTTTCTAGATTGCCTCTTTAGTTCTGTATTCTTCCCAGCTTCACTCCCAATATAGATTACTGTCACACACTGAATACCATTACAAAATGCACATCAGACAAGAGACCGCCTAAGATGCTTTTTCCCTTGATTCTGATATGTGTTGTTCAACTTGACCCTTTTGGGTACCCTTCATTAAATATTACTTGCTACTCCAGTTCTCAATTTTGTCATTGGTTGTTACCAGTCAACATATTCTGGCCTTGGTGAAAGGCAATGAAGGCATTCCTCTTGACTTCACGATGTTATTCAGAGTGCCAGCTCTGACATGGTTTCTTCAAGAGTGGTGCAATAATTTTTAGGAATTGGCAGATTGAAGTCTCTGTCCCAAAGTGGACTGGGACTTTTGCAGTATGGAGTTCCCCTGATACTACAACTAAATCCAGCAAGCATATTAATAGATATTTGGTGAGCAGGTGGCTCATATAACGATGCTTTGCCTAACAACTTCATACTCATGTATGAGCTAATTCAGTGTCATTTATCTATTTTTATGCCTAGCACAAGTAACTATTAGGAAATTTCATCTGGAAATTTTCCATCATTGGGATATTTGTTGTGAAAATGTTTCCTTTTTGCATTGACCTTTTGATCCAGCTGTATTATGAGATTCTAAAAACTGACATCCTGCTCTCCTCTTTGCTGCTAAACAGATGTTAAATAAGCAACTCTCAGGAACTATGGGTAAAATTCTGACCTCGATCCAAACATGAGCATTTCCAAACGCATTGAAAGGTTGAAATTATTTTTAAAACCTAGAGATAACACACACAAAAGAACCAGATACTGTTGAAGTATATAAAAAAAAAAATTGCTCTCAGCAGCACAGTTGTCCTGGTAATAACTCTTAGAACCAGAAAGATTCCTACTATCCTCTTTAGAACATTGATTACCCTTTGCCAACCTCACATGCACTCTTTCAGTCTCCCCAAATCACTGCTGTCTCTCATGCACCTGCTGCTGCTGGTCTCAAACTACTGTTCAGTTTTTGCTAGCTTGGTGTGCAATACTAAAAATGTTCCCACTCATATAGAAGGTGGCAGCTGAATTTGTTAAAAGCTAACCCAGACAGGTAAGCTAAACAAAAAGCGAAACAGCTTGAAAAAAAAAAAATAACATCAGGTTTGCTGGCTTGCCAAATTTAACAGTATTTTTAAAATTAAAAAAATAAAGAAATTAAAAAAAAAAAAAAAAACGGATGTTTTGCTCCCACTTATTTCTTTCCTCTACCTCTCACTTTCTGCCTCCAGCACAGAACGAAGAGTACAGGATTTGTGATGACAGCATTTTTTTCCAGAAAGATCCGCCCATGCTTTGTAGGCACAAGGCAGCGGAATGAAGTGGAAGAACCATTCATACTTGAGAAGTTAACCACCATGGCAACAGCTGAACAGCAAAGGGCTGAGGAAGGAAGTGCAAAGCAATCATCTCCAATGGGAGTCACTGGGACTCCTCAGCACCCTGCCTGCTCCTCCCTCCTTGCTGTCTGCTCTGCAAGTAAGTGCAAAGTAACTTTGTCCACGAACCTGCAAGGAGTGAAAGCACAGCACAGCAAAGCTGTGGCATTACAGAACTGAGCAAGAGGAGAAGGACACCTCAACAGTTGTGTTTCATTTTTTGACTAAAAAAAATAATAATAAAAAAAATGGCAGCTTTAACACATAGTACAAGCCTATCCTTTGCTATGTCAAGCTTCATCTGCTATATGTCTCTTTCATAGACTATCAGAGTGAAGAGAGACCACGTAAGCTGCCTTCAATAGGGAAACAACCTAGTTATCTGGGAACCAGAACACATTTACCTGACTTCTTTGAGATCAGAGGTTTGTGTGCAGGGACCAAAGGGACTGCAACATTTAGATTGCTTCTCATAGTTGAGTAGCTTGTTCAAGTTTTGCACTGCATAGCATAGCAGCTTGGTGTGCAGACACGCAGAATAAATGCATTTGGGAGTATTACTGTTTGAAGCAACTGTTCACATTTGATTTTAGAACAGTCTGGAATGTGAACCTGATTTCTTAATCATGTCACAGGTTGTCACGGGTGCCAAAATTTGGAGTTCTCAGAAACCGCTTATTGTATAGCATGTCCATATTTTGCCCTCCACATTGCTGCAAGTCATTTATCATTCATGCTTCTGACTGGATTAGAAGCATGACTCCACTACTCTGCCTCTGAGAAACTGGTGTTACCCTCCCATTCCTTCTAGTCCTCTCTTCAAGGAGGATGCCTCAGAAAGGCACAAGAAACAAGACCCAGGAGATCTACTATTAGATCTAGTAAACGTATGTAGTAAGCTTTTAACTATAAGCTTCATGTAACTAAAAAAATTCACACTTTGCCAGGAACTTCAGACCTGACTGAATATGGCACAGAGGCATGTGGAACATGGCCAAATTTGTTCTCTTGGTACCTTTTACACTTTAGAGCTTTTAAGATAGCTTTCTGGCTTACAAGAGAGTTTCATCTTAAGAATTTATAAGCACTTCTATCCTGATTCTATCCTGATAATTACAACGCTCTATACAACTTACAGCTGAGATCCTCTTTCCAAGAATACTACTTTTTTTCTTTTTTTTTTCTTTTTTTTTTTTTTTTCTGGCAGCCAGTGGTTTCACCATTAGAAAATGGTATTACAGAATTAGAAGATGTTCAGGCATGATACTCACTCTGAGTATTGACATAGCCAGTACATGTATATTTAGGGAACTCTCCACAGAATTCAACGTGAGACTCTGAAAAACAAGCGTTGCATAAAATCACACAAGAATCTACAATGTATAGTAGAGAGAAAGGGCAATTTATACGTACAGGAACTATACAGAAAGACCTGTATTACCTGGAATATATGCATCAAATCTCTTAAATTAAAACCATAACTGAATCCAGTCACTGTGGGTAGAAAGTTCTGGGTCATTTTCTGATGCAGACAGACTGCAGCTTATATGAGATGATAGATTTCACTATACTGTAACTGCAGCTCCAGTGCTGGAAAAGGATATTTATGGTCCTGCTCTATATAGTGGTTAGAGCATCCATCTCTGGGAAACAGACAGCAAACAGAGAGAAATGTCTCTGAGAGATTAAAAAAAGCGTGTGTGAAGAAAGTATAATTATTTCTTTTAAAATATACCCACATAAATATTTTAATAACACCGAAATCCAGAAATTGAAAGCACAAGTTGAAAAGGTTCTCACAGCCAAAGCACACAGTGTTAAATATCTTATTCACTCCCTGTCTCACTCGATGGAGATCATAATTACTATCAAGTTAGTATGAAACCTGCCAAATGAGCCTGACTTCAGGGCAGTGTGCTCCTTTGCAGCTGTTTTCTTTCCAGAATGCTTAATAAATTGTGTATATTTAATCAAATTGGGGTAGTTCAGAGTCTGAATGTTGTTTAAATAAAAAGTAAGGCAGATAGCACCTTAGTGGAGTACCAGGCATAGGGGAACTGTAATAAAGTTGTTAAATTTCTTAGGAAGAGTAGTATATTGATCCTTTATCTTGGATCAATCCAATTATAATTCTATTATTAACACCTCTGTGGTCTTTTTAACAGTCGTTTAAAAACCAGAGAACTCAGAAAAATTACCTAAGGATGTTTCTGCCCCCACGATGCAGCTCAAACAGAACTGGTCAAATCACAGAATTCTTCATTTGCAGAACATTTCTGTGTGAAAGAAAAAAAATATAATCAAAAAATCAAATACCTCCAAATTGGGAAGCTAAAAACATCTTGAAGCTGAACAGAAGCTTGTAAAACACATATATATTTTGAAAAAATTACATTTTTGATCAGTCAGCATTTCCAAATGAAATCCTGTTGTAGAACATTCCTAATCAACCTAAGTGTAAAATATACTAACATAGGCAGTTTCAGAACCTTGATTCTCTGCAGTGAAACAAAGCAGTATGAGAAACTAGTTGATATCATGTGTTTCTCAAACACTATCTGTTAGCAAAAAAAAATGTTGACAAGTTTAAATAAAATACAGATGACAATGCAAATGCTGGAAAGATGGTTTTAGGTAGATGCACAAGCACAATCTTTTAAAATCTATGCACTTTCAGGTGTGAAAAGATACTAAAACCACGCAGATGAAATCACTGCTTTGTAAAGGTAAATTTAAAAAAAAAAGAAAAAAAAGCATAAAAGCATGTTACACCTATTTCACAGTGATCAGTTCAAATCTAAGAAGTAGATTAAACCAGTTATTCCTTGAATGCTTTTGGACAGACTGATTAGAGTTCTCTAGTCTTTCACAGTTTACAGTCCTTCCTGCTTTCTTTGTTTGAACACAACTTCAGCTTTGTGAATGATTTCCCTTGCTAATTCTAGTAACTTTCATTCCTTTGCTGAGTAGCTATGCTGGCCTCCTTTTACTCTTTCTTGCATCTTTCCCAAAGGATGGGGGATGCTCTGCTGTTGCGTCCTCTGCCCAGATGGAGCATCTTCGTGCTCCCTGGAAGGATTTAATTGGTTTAGTGGCCCATTTTAGCTTCTTTTTAGTGAGCTTTCCTGTTTTCACAGAGTTACTCTTTTTTGAAGTTAAGCACACTTGTGGTGGATTCTTTGGCCTTTGTTGCTCCTGTGGAGGGTGCTGAATTGAAGTACATTACAGTCACTGTCACAGAGCAGTGATTCCATTGTGAGACTTTGAACCAGATCCTGCACATCACTCAATACACAAACAAGCTGTCACTCAGTGTGGGCTTGTTGTTTAGGGAACAGCCCTGTCAGCCCCCCTTCCCTGCTTCGCTGTTCAGTCGTTCAGTCCACTCAGCCATAGGTTTGCACTGTTGGAGAATTTGTGCATGGGTTTGTCAGAAATGGTATTAAGGGAACTGAGTTGTTTCCTTTAATAGATTATGTATTTAATAAATATGGTGGAGAAACAAGGTTGCAGAAAATCTAGTGCCTGCTCAGGCAAATGTTTGTTACATGCACATTTTAGCAGATGCTTTTTGCTCGTGTTTGTGTAGTTTAAACCCTATCTGCACTAAAAATGGAAACCCCCAAACCTGAGAACAGGTAAAGGCAGAAGTAGCTGAGATTTGGCACAAGATAGGAAAAACATTTCTTTTATGAAAGTGCAATAAACAGTATCTTTGATCTGGCAGATGAAACACAGCCAACATATCCTTTCTGAAACCCAGAAACAAATTAATAACAAACTATAAATCCAAAATAAAGTTAACCCTTAAAAACAAAAGTCCCCTCAGGCAGAGTTTTGCTCCCTTCTTTTAACCTCCCATGAAAGACAGAACTCTGAAGTTAACTAAAGGCTTCCACACCTCCTTCCATTCTCTGCATTCTGTGTGGCAGGTTTTCAAGACCAGCCAAGAAAAGTAGCACCATAAACCCGTAAGACCCAAACACACACAAATAGTCCTGCTGGCAATGTGAAGGTTTGAAGACTTCTGCATACTCTTTTACTGTACTACTTAGAGAGTCAAAGGACTCCTGAGGAGACCTGGGGTGTCTTATGCATGATTCTTGTTTACAATACAGTGCTTATTCACTCATGTCTGCTCCTGGGGTTGCCACAGCAAATGGTCAAACTGAGGGTTTTCCTACACATTCTGTCCCCGTAGCACCTTTTATCTGGTACTTATAACTGTGCTATTCCATGCCTGCTCTGTGTGAGACAGAGCACCATCTGTCTGCTATGCAAGGCTGTAACAAAATGTTAGGATGTTCGTTCTCTTTAAATTAAGAACTTGACTGTTACTGTGAGCAAAAACATTTTGTTAAAATATGGCACTTGGTGCACCTACCCAAAGATGCTGATTTACTGAAAAACTTCCAGCAGTGGGATTCATGCATGTGACACACTGACAATCGTGAATTTCTTTTAAAATCAGTTTCTGTCTGTCATACCTATGTAGTTACAAAATAACAAAAGGATAATAAAGCTCAATTGTATATTCACAGTTTGAGATTTCTATTGACAGATCTTCACACTGAATGCTTCTGCAAGAAAGTGTGATTATGTAGCTCTCTGCTAAAAGAACTGAAAACCTCTCCTTTGTTACAACTCTCTTACACACCATTTCTATCATTTGGAATCTTTTAAGGGATGTGTCAAAGTTGACAGGCCCAAATTTGGCCTCCTCTCACCAAATTATATTTGTAGATTTAGAATATCTTCCTTGTAGGACAAAATCCCAGCAGTCAACCTCTCCAAAACAAGGGCTAAGTTCTTTGGCTAGCTCCAGGTCAGGCAATAAGCCATGAACAATATACTCTCTTGTCCTACAAAATGCATGTTTCTGTTCATGTGCTACACCATCCCTCCTCTTACAACCAACATATTAAATTGGTACTGTGATGAAAATCACTCTGCTTACTCATTTACCTATGGGTTAGATGGTTTTATTAGTTCAGCCTGTTGCCTCTAACCTTCCACTACACTGTGGAGAGCTCTATTGTGTTACAGCCATAAAAGCACTTCACCAGAGCTTTACACAAAACTTAGAGAGCTAACGTGCTGGGTTCTCTTCTGTCACACATCATATATGGGATTAACAATAGTAGCTAGTTTAATTTATTGGATCTTTGTTTTCTAGCCTGCAAATTAGGTCAATAGCATTTTCCCCATCCATGGGAAAGCTCGGTGGCTCCTTTAGTCCAAAGGAATCCTGAATCTGTAGCGGATAAAAATAACAAATATTAAAGAAAATGTTCTGTTTTGTTTCACTAAGAATCCAAAATGATTTCAAGATAGATTTACATTTTTGTAAAAAAGCACTGTGAGTTATTAAAATGTGAAGTGCAATTTGATAGGACTGCAAGTCTGACTGTTGAGTTTTTCTTGCCAAAAGAAGAATTTCAGAATTTCAGAATTTCAGAAAAAAAAAAAAGGAATAAAAAAGGAATAAAGAAGGAAAAGCTGTGATACTTGCTTTATCCTCCTGTTCACATAACAACCCAGTAGAAATCTGAACAGTATTCATTTAATATATATGCCTAGAGTAGGCCATCAGATTATAATCTCTCCTTGTCTAGCAATATTAGAGAGCTGTATCCAGAAGCCTAACATTTTGATCCAAGCATTCTAAGGTAATTACTCTAAACTCCTAGTCAGTTTTAACCACATTTCACTCAGTTGCATAAAAGTATTTCATAACAAGTGAAAGAACTGTAAAGGACAGCCTAAGGGCATCTTCTCTGACCCACCTCCCACTTCCCCTATCCTTTTGAAAACTTTAACAGAGTAAGTTTTAAGATGCTGATATGGAGTTCTTGGATATATTATGCTTCAAATCCATTCAAGCAAAAAGGTAGCAAGTCCTGAAGCTAACACAGCTTATTAGTCCACTGGGCTTTTGGGGCAGAAACAGCAATATTCATCTCTTCCTCTTTGCTATCATTCACTCAGCCCAAGAATATTTAATATAACAAAAAATATGGAAAAACAAAAACAAAAATATACTATTGCAGTTAGCAGACAGTGTATGTAATCCTCCTAAAGTAAACTGGAAATACATTGCCCTTCACTTGAGAAGGGGCAGGTTATAGAAAATGAGGAAAAAATGCCTGAAGAAAAGATTTCCCACTCTGAGGCTCTGCTTGTTTCCTTTTCTCACTCAGCCTTAATGTTTTGTCTTAGGTGTACCAGTTATTGTTTAGCATTTCTGGAAATCTGTCAGCACATTAGGGAGGCTTTCTTTAGGGAGCTGGATTAATACAACATAAATATTTAAAATATATTTTGTTCAAACTGCAGGAAGAAGTTGACCTTAATAATTGTTTTGTGTGTTGTTAACATCCCAGTGTCTCCCTAAATCAAATTTACTTCAGTTCTTCCTTTTTGATTGCAACACCCTGATTTCTTAGTGCCAAAGTAAAATGCAAAATGACATAGAACCCTTAGGAAATGACATTTCCCTTTGAGCCCATCTGTTTAGGTCAGTGCATTTCAAACTCCAGTAACAGCAGTTTTTTCCTCAGACATGATGGCTACAACTTTACACACAACAAAGTATAAGCACCACTGTCAGTGTTGAGAACTTATCTCTAGATTTCACTTGTTTTCTATGGCAAACCTCCATCATACCCTCATGGGGGTTCCCGTTTTGCACACAGGCCTTCCTCTCAGACACTTGCCTCAAAGTTAATTGAGGTCTTCAACTCATTCCTCACTGGTAACAAGATTTGCAGATTCTGGGAGTTAGATATTGCTTTCTCATTGAAACTGATCCTCCTTGTGCACAATTGTTCCATTCATTTTTGATTTTTTTTTTTTTTGCTTCAACAACAGCAGCATATCATGTGCAGGAATCTTGGAAATTAACATGACCAGGCTCAGCCACGGCACTGAGGATTGTACACAAATAATAGTTGTTATTTTTTAAATTTGTCTTTAGTGTGAAGGCAGCAAAAATAAACCAGTGTGACACAGTATTCTCTGTTCATGTCCAGCACCTCAAAATTGAATAACCACTGTGCTAAAACTCCTGTAATTGCAATTATCTCTCCCTTCCTCTTGAAATGTAGGCTACAGAACTAATAGTTTATACCAGGAAAATAGTCATTTAACTTTTCACATTTATGACAATGAATGATAGCTATACTGCATTAAATAACTGATTTGCTCTCCTAAAAACATGTCTAGATTTGATCAAGGATAGGTAAAGAGGATGTCAAAAATTCTATCAGAATTGACAGCATTTCTCTTGAAGAGTTAACATTCGCCATTAATTGAGTTAAACAGAGGCTGTGCATGTGCCATGACAACTTTTGTCCTGATTTTTAAATTCTATTTTTCCTACAAGCACTACCCAGAAGTGACTACTTCCCAGAAGTGTTACCTAGTACTACTCCACCAGTTCTTCCAGATTTTAAGTGGTACGAAGAAAAGCAGCAAAGCTACAGAAAAGAATCAGGCCTCTTGAAACATAGGAAACATTACAGTTACGGACACTGGAACATGGCGGATACTGCATAGTAACTGAATGGGACTTGGACCATTGCAGAATCTTCCAAAAGTTCAGTAACTGTGTCCAACCAAAAGAATTCTTTCCCAACTTTTGCCTTTCTTAACCAAGACAATTGACTTCTCTTTGTCCAGATAGACAGCTAGAAAATATTGCAATCAAATTGTCCAGTGATATGAAGGAAGACAGCCTATTTGCAAAGAAAAGATGTAGAAATATTTCTACATTAATAGCAAAAGAAAGATTATGTTAAACTGTTAGGAGGGTTCAAACTGATATAAATCACTGTAGTTGTATGTTTTTAATATACTAAGCTAACGTGACAAAGTCAAGTAACAGACAAGGTTTAAAAAAGTGAAAATACATGGCATTTATGAATGCACAGACTTGATACTCATCTGAATCTCAATTTTTTGGTAATACTGAAGGATTATTATTAACAGTGCCGAAACTAAAATGCAAACAGGTATTTCAGCAAGATTACACTGTATAGTGTTTGTAACTCTGTGTAGTAGAATACTGCATTTTCTTGTCACTGAAAAGGTAGTGAAATGGAATATTAGAATTATTGCAATATCTATATGCACATTTTCCAATATGAATGGTATGCCATAAACATAACTCATTCTACAACTGCATGATTATCTTGAAATAATATAACTTGGTCATAAATGAAGAGAAATGATATTGAATTGCTTTACCAGCTTGCTGTATTGAATACTATCCAGGAAGATCAGAATTAAAATAGAGACACTTAGTAAATACCGCAGCAATAGTTTTCTTCTTTGAAAAGTCTATTGTATGTGAAAATGAAACTGCAGATACACTTTAATATTTATCACACCAGGTACTTCATTCACATTATAGAAAATAGCCGTATCAATGGCAGAAATTAGGTATGAACTTAGCTTGTGTAGTAGATAAAATAATCTGGTGAGGTGGTGGGGAAAGAAAAAAATGCTCTCTACAAATCTCCAAGTGAAAAAAAAAATAACGGGCCTCATAATGCCTTATCATTTAGATAAACCCATGAACTGGAGGAGACAGAGAAAAATAAATATGCTTAATATGTCAGATATATTTTTTGTATTGGAAAACACACTGCATAATTCAGACATATTAGAGTTATCTGGCTGTTTCTATAAAACATATTAAGATAAGCTGTGAGTGAAATATTCATGGATGAGGAAGAAGAATCATCTCAGAGTTAAAACAGGGTTTGGAAAGATGAGGTCAATTAGCTCAATTCTTTTTCTTGCCAGTAACAGATAGTGAATTCTTGGGCAAGTCATTTAACTCAGTTTTATCTCCTTCATCTGCATAACAGATATGCTATTATTAGGTCCCTCACTAGGATGTTGAGGTTTAATAGTCTTAACATTGAGGTCCTTGGGTGTAGGGTTCTACACAAACACAACTATTTTATTATGACAGATGGCAGCACCTTTGAGTTAATACTGCAACCAGCTTCCACTTAAAAATTATTTTCCTTTACAGTTTTGGCTTGGTAAGTGGCCTAGCTTAAAAATAACTTTTTTTTTTTTTTTTTTTTTCATAAATGCATGTGACATTGGATCTGTTTTTGTCAATAGAACTGACGAAGGAAGAAAAACAAGGAGGAAAACAAGGTCTTAGAGATCATGCTTATACCACATAACTGAACATGATGCCAAGACTGCAGAATTAATGTCCGCCATGCTGATTACAAAACTAGAAGAAATCCGTCTAAGCCGGCTAGTTAGCCAGCCTTCACGGTACTGCTCTGAAGACTCACCAGTCACTGCGAAAATTCATTGTTTCATACCAGCTCATCTGGTACTACCTCAAGGAATCAAACCACTTAAAATAGCATTGACTTGCCTGGTGCATATTATTTAGCAGCAAACCTTCAAACTACCAGCGTTACTTCTGCAAATTGAAAGCAATTTGATGGAAATTTCTCTACAAAAAGCCACAACATAGTCACTCACTTTCTAGATGAGACAACACAGGAATACAGAAAATACAACTTGGCAGTGGCCATGCTCTACCGGGACTTCCTTGCAGACCTCTGAGAAGTAAACTATCTTCTCAGATCACATGAAAATCTCTCTTTGATATAATGAAACAGGATATAACTGAAAGATGCTTAAAATTATCAAATCATTAAACCAAAGCAGTTAAAGGCATTAAAAGATGACAGCATTGTTTCTTACAACCTCATGTGCAAAACTCAAATATTTCAACAGCAACTGAAAAAGTATGAGCATGATCAATCTTATACAACCCACATAAAAAAAAAAACAAAAACAAAACAAAACAAACAAACAAAAAAAAACATTAAGCATTAAAAATGCCTAGTAGTCACCACATGAGCGATATAAATGCAGGCCAGGAGCCAGCTGGATCTTTCTTTCAGAACAAAGCACTCATCCAGCAACAAGTGTATCCTATTCATCAAGTAAAGAGATGAATGTTATGTTACAGCCTGATTTTCCCTGCCAAAGAACTTTGCGCTTATCATGCCCTGTAATACTGTCATTTTCCTTCAAAGGAGCTGTCAGGTCCAGGAATAAGACCAGGCAGGAGAGCTGTCTCAAGTGCAAATGAAGGGGGTGAAAAAGGAGCATATGGAATTGGAGAAGTCCATAGTATGCTTAAAAGGAAAGAAAATGAATTCTCACCTTCCCTCTTCTCTACAGATCTGAAGAATGAGCTGGTGAGAGATCTGCAAGGCCTTTAGGAAGTTCAGTACTGGTAAATAAGGATAACCGTAAATTTCTAATCTGGAGCTTTGATATTCCCTGGCAAAGTTGTTTAGAAACAAGACCATGAGTTGCACCTGTTCAGGGAAAAATTCTTTCATCAGAGTTGAATGAAAGAAACAGAGAAAAACAGCAAGAGAGAGGAACCCTGAGGAAGTACTAATCAGAGTAAAATAAAAATAAGAAGAGATGGATACAGAGTGACAAGTATTTTGTTCCTTAAAAAACAAATCTCACATAAATTAATCCTTGTTGCCATTACAAGTAAATTTCTTTCCAGAGTAAAGATGGAATGCAACACCTCTCTCTCCTAAGAGAAGACTAACTAAAGGTTATCACCTGGTCTTGCTTCTAATATATGGGTCTAGGTTGTAGCCTGATTACATCACATGCTGACAGGCAAGTGCAGCAGCGCCTGGATGCTTATCTGCTGGAATACTGCCAGGGGAGAGGAGGAGGCAAAGGGAAAGTGAGAGAAGAGTGCAATCTCTCTTTCTCTTGCCTTGGGGTTATGCCAGCAGTTTTCTCATTATAAGCACAAGCCTAGCAGCACAGCTCACCGGCTCAACAAAGCCTTAAGTACCTATAGGTCATTTAAGGGGATCAGGCTTCACAGAAAAAGAAAAAAAAAAAAAGTAACTGTGTATATGTGCAGTGGCATTTAACTGTCAACATCACGCTCCCTGGTATCTCCAGCACCTGTCATCCAGCTGCCATCCAGCTCTTTTTGTCCTGGATTTCCTCCACAGAACTTTAGGCCATGGCTCCAAGCAAGCGGAATTGAAGTTTGCTCTCATGCAGTCCTGTAGTTTCTCTGCAAACAGAAAGCAATGACATGAGGAGGACAAAGTGGATCAGTGGCAAAGGCTGCAACTGGGTCGCAAATGGATAGTATCCTGCAGCCTTTGGGTTTGCTGTGCAAGTAATTCAGCTGCTTGATTCCTGCCCACCTCTAAGCCAAGTCTGGCAAGAGCAGAGCGTGTCTGGGGAGAAGACTGGACAAGAAAAGCAGCATAGAGCAGGATGTGGGTACATGCACGCTGTGAGTGGGGGCAGCCTGCACGCACCCCTCCCTTCCGCTTCTTGTGCACTTCCCTGAAAGAGATGTGTGTTTCCCCTTTGCTTCTGCTCTTTCTCTTGGGCGTGCAGGGGGAGAGAAAGGAAGCGGGCACCCTACAACGCTGACTCAGGCTGATCCTTGTCATGGCCCAGTATTGACATGCTCAGGAGACAGTTTTTCCACAGCAGCACGCTCTACTGCCAGTCTAGAAAGGGTTTAGTCTGGAAAGAAGGGAGGAGCGTGCTTGGCCCTGCCCCTCAACAAAAAGGGTACTGGGACAAAGCTGAAGTGGAAGAGCAGAGATCTACTGTTCAAAGGAGTTGAGAGGGAAGGCTTGGAGCATGAAGAGAAATCCAGAACCACAAACTTCAGTTATATGGTGCCAAGGAAGTGGTGATTTCACCCACGTGGGAGCCAACTGTTCTGAGACTGCTGCAGAGATTAACACTGGGATGGCTGAAGGCCCTCTGTCACCTGGTAAAGGTTAGTCCTCCCGGAACCCCTCTGTCTGAAGTGGTTCCTAGCATCTCCTGCAGAGAGATCCTACAGCATTTTTCAGTGATGTCAACCTGAATTCACACAGAGGCTTGAAGGTAGCCAATATCCAGCAAGATGCACACTGTGACTTGGTCCTCCAGTGGGTGCTGTAGTTGTCAGAGTATTTGGCAAAACAGACCCTACCAAAAAAACCCTTATACTTAACTGCTTATGGGAGTCCTCAGAGACTGCAGCTATGTAAGAGTACAGTGGTTCACTGAGTTGGGCGGGTTGGACCCACCAAACTCCAGTGGATGGCATGATGACAGAAAACTCAACTGAAACCCAAATGCTGGATAAAGATAATTCCCACTATGAAGCACAAATTCCAAAACAAGCATTCAGTTAGAAAACCACAAGCCACTACAGTCTGAGAAAAAGCGGATATAGTAAAAAGTAATCACAACAAAGGGCCTCATGGGAGAGAAAAGGAATACAGTGTTAGACTTGAGAGTACACTGCATTTTGAAAATGTTGCTGTAGAGCCAGACCATCACTGCTGTGAAGCTTCAACTCATTACCATTCCCAAAACTAGGATCTCTGCTTGGATTTCATCTTCTGTTGGAGTGAATGTGGCATGGCAGCACATGGTAGAAATTAGCAAGGAGACACTAAAGAGAACAAGGCAACCCAGATACAGCTTCTCTGGTAGCAATTTCAAATGTAAATATCTCAGTTTTCTACCAAAGTGTGTGAGTGGGGAGGGGGGGGTTGCATTTTCACTTTTTTTTTTTTTTTTAAATAAAAGTTAAAACTGTTGCAGAACCTTTGAAATTAAATAGTTTCTTCAGTTAGAAAAAAAAAAAAATCACCAAAAATGATGTTAGAAAATCCTGGCCCTAGCAGTTGACATATATTTGGATGAAGAATTGAATAGGCCTCTGGGGTTTGAGATTCTCAACATATGTTTGAGATTATACACTAGAGCTTAGATGCTTCTTGAACTTTTTTTTTCATTGTCCTCATTCACTGATCATTTTGCTTTCTCTTTTTGAAAAGCAACAGCTGTAATTTTACTAGAATATTAACAGCAAGAGAACTGCCAACAGCACCAAGCAGAACTTCAGACAGGAAAATGCATACAAAATACCAGAGGAAAGAGATATATCTGATCGTGCAGTACTATCTAAAGTAAAGATAATACTTAAATACTTTGAAACTTGCTGCTCTTCTGCTCAAAACTAGAAGTACTAGAAAACGTACCTTCCTACTGCAACAATGTCACATGGTCATCAGAAGCAGTTCTGCTCTAATTAGGATTTTCTCTGACCTATACCAAAGGGATCAAACATTAAGCAAAAGCAGTGCAGCCTAATATTTGAAAGCACCCTCCAGCCTCAGCCACTCCACAAAAACCACATGAACATGTGGTTCTCTGACAGCCCTGCAGGGACTTATGCAGTGCATGCCACTGACTTATCTTTAAGAGGGAAATGAAGTACTGACAGGCCATGTTTTCTACCTTTCTCTCTTGGAAAAAATACCACGAATCAAATTATTTTCCTTTGCTGTGCAAATCCTCTCACCTCAGCTGAGTAAGCTAGTATTTACTAATGTACAATTCACATCTGAGCTTCCATGTGCCCCTGTTCTTGCTGACTACAAATTGGGTTTTGGCTTTCCAGCACTTTCAGCAAGACGCTACACTCGCTTCAATTGCAGAAAATGCAAATTTTCCATTTGCCTCCTCCAGTTTGGATTTTAGAGACATATAAATATCTCTGGGAGTTTGGGCACACTGCCCATTTTTCACTGCTTACTTTATGTTAGGAATACAAGTGGTACAGCCAAAATAATGAAATCCAATGATATTCTCTTATAAATTATAGTACTTAGAAAAATAAAATGAGAAAGTAAAATGTAATAAAATAAGCAGTGGTAAGAGACATAAACCATGCAAAACATCAGAAACAACCTAGTGTAAACATTTTGGCCACTAAGTTCTAAATAGTAACATGCTGATTTCACAGTGAAATTTTTCTTAGTTTATTGCTGTTCCCCCTAGGTAGATGAGGGATGCTTGCTGGCCATCCCGAGGTGGGGACCAAAGAGGGGGGATACAGGGGATACACATATGCCCTGAGAAATGTGGCTTATGGACTTCGGGTACAGGTCCTGGATTGTTCCAAGAATTGTGCCCCCTTTCTTTCATCATTTTCCCTGGCCTGAAACAAGCTGGCAAAGCTTTAACCCAAATCTTCTCTTTAATGTGCAATTGCCAATGTGACTTTAGAGGAAAAATGATTATTCCAGAATTTTACACTGAAATGTAACTACACCTTTGAAAACAAGAACAATGACTTAAAAGCACACCTCAGCCTCATGCTGAGAGACTTAACTGATGCACAAAAATTTGTATTAACAGCAATGACAGAACGCCTGTATAGATACAGCTCTAGTAGTGGTACATACATTACAGTGACTGTAATGGAAATTTTTACCCCAGAATGGGGAAAAATCCAGCCTGCATAATTTAGGAGGAACAGCAAAACGATACACAAGCATCACCTCAGTCACTTGCTGACATGTAGTTTCCTAGAGGTATATAAGTCTACTGACAACAGTCAATGAACTCTAATTTAAGCGTCCTTAGAAAAAAATATTCAGTTGTAAACCACATGATGAAGAAGCAGGTCATAGTACTCCCTAGCCCTCCTGGAAACCCTCCTGCTTGCCAGAAGAAAGGCATGGCAAGAATGGTGAGCTCTACCTCACCTACACAGTATGCATAAGCTGGAGCAGCTTCTGCATGCTGGGTCCAGAAAACAAACAATGCTGCAACCTTGGGAACATACGATGGTCAGTGACGTCTGCTAAAGTTTGCTGCTGTCATCAATGTGACTGGATTACCTTGCACAAGCTTCACCTTCATTTAGGCCCCAGTAGAAAAAGTATTCTTTCATAAGGCTGAAGCCTAGTCCTACTTGCTCTGCAGGAACATTTACTTGTCTTTTTCTTTTCACATGGAGAAGTCGTAGAACAGAACACTTCACCCTGCATAAACTGCAATTAGGTTCCTTAACACAATTTTAGAAACTACTTTACAGAATTCCTTTCTCTTCTGGGGAATGAAAAAAAGTAAAACTAAAATCCCAGAATGTTCCCAATGAAGCAAAGAGAAGAGAAACCTCACATCTTCCTACCTCCGAAATACTAATTTACCTTTTTTCTTTAGCTGCACTTGTTAGCTTTGAATCCTGTCTTATTAACACTGGAGTTGACCATAAATACCTACACTTCCTTCCCTGAAAACAGGCTTGTGGTATCAAAGCTCAACCTGAAGTACCATTCACCACTGTATATTAGTGTAAAGGTGTATATACATAAAGGCACGCGTATGTTCCATTTCTGCATTATTAAACTAATTTATAAGAAGAAATTTACATCATAAAATCCTCCCCCAGTTAACAGCACTTAGAAATTTATCACAAAGCAGCAATGAAATTACACTGCTGGCAGAACCCTGGCCATAATAATCACACATTTGCAAGGCCGCCGCAAAACAACACAATTCAGAGTTCTCCAGAATGTTCAATATTGCCATGAAAAGTACAAACTGTAGTTCAAATATGTCTTCACTATGACTGCATTGGGTCATTTACCTTAACAATGTGAACGTGCTCTCATTATTACGTTCAACTTGATTAGTGTGTAGTCTAACATTTAAAAGTGCACTTCAGATGGAGGAAGATATGAATGCATGATTGGTTCCTAATAAATTGAGCAACCCTTTAATGAACTGCAAGGGATCTAGAAGAAACTGGTAGACACTAGCTACAGACACTCAGAACCAGAAATAAAAAAAAAAGATAATAACATGACAAAGTGCAGAAATTCTTCAATACCTTTATACACTGTGCTGTAACTCATTGCTATTTGAAGTAGCAAATAGGAGGGTGTACAGTTCTAGTAGAAAGACATTATCAGAAATCTGCTGGGGAAAGATTTACTGTTATTGAAACCCACATCTAAATGACCACTGTGGCTGATGAAGTTTGGAGCCACATTACACAATCATATTACAATGGAGCAGGAAAACAATAGAAGCTATGGAAAGAGCCTTTCAAGATGGTAAGGCTTTCTTTTTCTGTTATATTCTATTAGTTAGGAAAAACACACACACAAACAAAACCAATACGTACACACAAAACACACTTCTGCAATAATTTGCTCTCCTGGGGGAGACGTGCTTCATCAGAAGGTAACAGCAGGATAGTAGCAGTATCTCTCATGAAAGCTGCAAATATCAAACAGGAACAGCATAAACTTAATGACTATCCATCTACACCTGCACTTGGCCAAAGCTGTGCTCTCTATCAGGAAACAAAGAAATGGACCCTGTCAGCCCATTTGCTTGCAACAGCAGCAGAGGACTAAGTGGTATCCCTTTCAAGGTTAACACTGACAATAAGAATAGTGAGAGTAGGTTTGGCACCGGTACTCTTCAGCAGCATCTGCTGGTAAACATCTCCATTAAAAAATGAGAAGGTACCCATGG